CACGTAGGACAGTGAGGGGGCCACAAACGGCGACAGCGGGGCCACGAAGGGCATGCACATGGGACCACAACGGGCGCGAACGAACGGGGGCCACGAAGGGCCTACGTATACTGGGCCGCGGAGGGCAAGGACGGGGCCACTGAGGGCAGCAACGGGGCCACGAAGGGAAGCGAGGGGGCCACGAAGGGCGACAGCGGGGCCACGAAGGACATGCATATGGGGCTACCACGGGCGCGAACGAGCGGGGGCCACGAAGGGCATACATGTATGGGGACACGAAAAGCAGCGAGGGGGCCACGAAGAGCAGCGAGGGGGCCGCGAAGGGCTGCAACGGGGCCACGAAGGGCTGCGAGGGGCCACGAAGGGCAGCGAGGGGGGCACGAAGGGCTACAACGGGGCCACGAAACAAAGCGAGGGGGCCACGAAGGGCGTCAACGGGGCCACGAAGGGCAGCGAGGAGGCCACGAGGGGCTGCAACGGGACCACGAAGGGCAGCGAGGGGGCCACGAAGGGCTGCAACGGGGCCACGAAACAAAGCGAGGGGGCCACGAAGGGCTGCAACGGGGCCACGAAGGGCAGCGAGATCCCCATCTTAGGTAATCTGTGAGGGAGTCCTAAACGTGAGCGCGACTCCTGGGTGCCTGGATGTCGGGAGCCCGGCGCTTGAATATATTGCAAGAATTTCCACCGCATTAAATTGCAAGCAAGTCTCCAGCGAGAGCGCGACTCCAGAGCGCCCGGAAAGCGATTCCTGAATAAATTGTAAGGAAGTCCCAAGCGAGAGCGCGATTCCTGAATAAAATGCAAGGAAGTCTCGGGCGGGAGCGGGGGTCCTGGCTAAATTGTGAGGAAGTCTCAGGCGGGAGCCGTTGCTGTTGTAACCCCGTGGCCAACGACACAGTTTGACCCTCAAAACTTTTCCTGAAGGTGCGAGCCACGGGAAGGGCACTTCAATCGAGAAAAAGACAATGTGCACCGGACGGGGGGATCAACTATAATTATTCTTCAGAAATGAGAGTTCAACAACAACAACAACAACAACAACAACAACAACAATCATTTTACCCGAACGCTCAGTGTTCTCCCCAGTGCCAGAGTTTTCTTGCGACACCAGCCAATACCCCCACTTCGTGGGGGGGCCGTTCAAGCTCTACCAAATATCCAAACGACTCTTCGAGACCACCCACACCCAGCTTCCCACCCTATGACGTTGGGACACTTCACTTCGTGGCGTGCGGACGACCCTGGCTACTACACTGGCGTGGGGTACACACCCACAGAGGTTGATCACATCTGTTACATATGATGTGGTACACGGTACACGTGAGATGGTACGCAGTGCCAAGATAGTTGGTCACATTTTTGGGGCAAATTCGTGGGGATGCGATTACAGAAGTACATGTGTTACACGGATGTTATACAGTCCCAAGGATGACGCATGCATTGCTCATAGACTCATGGCGCTATGATCCATTGGATGAATACTGCAGTAGCCACGCCGTTGCGACCCTATCTGGCACATACAGTGGTGGATCCAACTGTCGGAGCGCCCGGCATAATTTGAAAGCGGTATTATACTCAATGCCCAGGTGGCGGATGGCAGAGCCGTGCTGCTCCTCCAGCTCCTTGGCGCTAGAAATACTGACCGTGCCAGTCACAACCCGATACTTGGCCCACCAAGTCTTGCACGCCTGGTGACTAGCATTGATACCCTTTGCCCGGAGCGCCTGATGCAAATAATACGCACTCTCGCAGTCGGCCAAGGGAGGCCGCGACAGCTCAGGGCCATACTGCTCGTGAAGGTCTTTCGCCGTCAAAGCCATGATCCAAGAACACAGGCGATACCTTGATCCGAGATGGCTACGGATATGTGCGTCAGCAGTCGGGGGCCTTCCTGGGGCCGCTTGGGGTCCTCTTGGGGAAGGGGGGAAGCCTCCTGGCGCGGTTTGGGGTCCACTTGAGAGCCTTTGGGGGGCTCCTTGGAACCATCTTGGGGCCTCTTGGGGGCTTATTGGACCCTCACGGCGGACTCTTGGGGCCTCTAGAACGCCTCCTGGGGCCATCTTGGGGGTCTCTTGGAGCCACCTTGGAGCCTCTCTGGAACCTCTTGGGGGCCTCTTGGAGTCCTCTTGAAGCCTCTTGGGACCATCTTGGGCGCCTCTTTGGGCCTCATGGACGCCTCTTGGGGCCATCTTGCGCGCCTGTTGGGGCCATCTTGGGTTTTAAAGATTCATCAAGAGACCGCGAATGGATTTCGAGATTTTTCGGATGAGAAAGTAGTGCGTTTTCATATGTTTTCTGAACATCGCATCTTGAAATTATTGAAAACCCATTGTGTTTGGCAGGATTTCGACATGCGCGCGCGGCGGCCGCGCGCATGTGCACTTCGTCTCATTTTTTGCAAGGGATGGTGGCCCTCGCAGGCGCGCAACCGTTGTTGGAGAAGTTCAAAGCACCTGAAGAAGTAGCACGCAAAGACCCTTTTGACAGAAATGTTTAAAAAGTGGTGTGTTTCCTATGAATCCGCAAGAGCGCGCGGAAGGACATTTTGACAATTTTTTCTTAAAAAACCATTGGGTTTTTGATGTTTTTATGTTAAAATCGTTACGAAACCTAAGGTTTTGGAAGGATTTCGTCTTGCGAGCGCGAATGTCCACTTTACCTTATTTTTTGCAAGGGATTCTTGAAATTTGATCAACTAAGAACAAGAATTTTCATTTTCTATTGTTTTTTGCAAGGGAAAACGAGCGTCAACAAAAAACCGGATCCGGGGGTAATCCACTTTTCTGAAGCTTTCGCAGAAAAATGATGAAAATGTAGCTGCGGCCTAGGTTTTGGGCGGGGGGCGTGCACCAGGGGGTCCAACAATAATAATTCTTTAGAAGTAATAGTGTTCAACAACAACAACAACAGCAGCAGCAGCAGCAGCAGCAACAGCAACAGCAACAGCAACAGCAACAACAACATCATCATCATCATCATCAGCATCATCAGCAGCATCACCATCACCATCAGCAATATCCTCTTACTCTTTCCTCTCCACTTCCTGGATCTCCAATACCCCTCCTTCTACTAGCAATCAGCCACGTCCAGCCGAACAAGTCAGACAGCCCCTCAGCTTCTTTCATGGGAAGCCGACCCGGCCACCCAGACAGCAGACAACGCATTACGGGCACCAAGTCTTTGCCGCCGGGACTCTGGACCGCCGTTTTGGGAGTCCGTCGCGACACCAACAGTCCAGCCGCAGCCCTCCCTCGCCCCTCCTGGACCACCCGCGCCGTGCAAAAATCACGGCGGCACGTTTTTGGCCGTGTTCAGCCTCCGAGGTCCTCTTCCAGGCCACAGGGCTGACCGAAAACAGCACAGGCCGAAAAAAAGTAAGCCCCAGGGAGGGGCAGGAGAGCCCAGAATCGAATCGATAAGTCGCATCGGCGATCGACATGAATCGGATCGGCGGAACTCGGCAGCCGAATCGGGAGAAGTCGAATCGGCTCCGTTGAGAGATCGGAGCCCAACATCGGCATCCGACGCCACTCCGAATGGGAATCGGAAACCCTCGAAAACGAGCCGAATCGAACCGGAGGAGTCGAAACGAGCCCCAGAGGGGGACACAGGCCTGCGGGAGTACACGCAGTGGTCAAAGACGCGATGGGTATCGGGGGGCTCTGCCGCCCGCACCCATGCCACTGCCAGGCTCCCGCATCCTCCTCCTGTGAGGCCAAAATGAAAACGCTCGGCAAGATTTGTCGCGGACCCTCCCGCCGTTGCCCCCCTCACCCCATGCCCCCCGCCCATCCCGGACCCATCCCCAGAGCCGGGCTCCCACTTTCTCAGAGGGTGGCAGCTGCGCGCGGCAGTGCAGATCCCGCATCCCTGCTGTCTCGCCTCGATTCGCCGAACACGGTTTCAAGACGCCGAAAAAACGGCTGCATCTTGTCGTGCGACACATGCCTGCGAACCGTCTCTTCCTCTTCGCCTCCTCCTCAGTCACTCTCGGATCCTGAACGAAAAAAAACAATCAGAACCGCCCGATGACCATCTGACACCCCGCAGGCAATGGCAATTCTGACCTTCCTCCTCCTCCTCCTCCTCATCATCATCATCATCATCATCATCATCATCATCATCAGCATCCTCTCCTTATTATTACCATTACTATTTTCACTAATAATATGAATGACATTATTGTTAGTATTACTTGTCGTCTTAATAATAGTACGAGTATTACTATTATTCTTAGTAGTAGTACTACTAGTGTTAATGTTATTTCTCAGACTTTCTTATAACTATTATTAGTGTTCTGCAGTAGTCATATTATTTGATTCGTCTCAGTATCAGTATCGTTATTCGTATTCTTATTATCATTTTTCCTGTTTCATATTTCTAGTCGTCATGATATTCGTCTTCTGATTCGTAGTCTCATTTGTCTTATTAGTCTTAATAGGGTTAGTAGTATTATGAGTACGTATTCTAAGGATTAGTATTAGTGTTATTCGTATGCAGCTTAGTCTTCTCAACATTACAACTGGTAGTAGTGTTGTTATGATTCATCGTATCATTAATGAAGATTCGTCTTATGAGTATTAGTGGTAAGGGTCACAGCATTCTTAGTATTTTTATTCGTCGTAAGAGTATTAGTTTTATGAGTATGGAGCTTCATACAATTGTTATCATTATTATGGTTTGTCGTCGTAATACTCTTCTTTTATTACACTTAATATGATTATGAATCCTCTTCCACCTCGTCCTCCTCCTCCGCCTCCTCCTCCTCTTCCTCCTCCTCCTCCTCCTAATCCTCCTCCTCCTCCTCATCCTACCTCCCCCCGCACGCCTCATCCTCCTCCTCCTCCTCCTCCTCCTCCTAATCCTAAACCTAATCCTAATCCTAATCCTCCTCCTCCTCCTCCTCCTCCTCCTCCTCCTCCTCCTCCTCCTACCTCCCCCCGCACGCCTCCCCCCTCTCTCCCCGTTCGACCCTCCTCTTTCGAAGCGGAGGACGCTCCAGAAGCAGCTGGCCACGGCGAGCGCCCACGGACTGCACCCCAGGCGGTCGGCCGCACGCTTCAGCACGTCGCAACTCGCGCGGCGGCTCGAGTGGAGGAGGAAGACAAGGACGAGGAGGAGGAGGAGGAGGAAGAAGAGGAAGAGGACGGGAGGACCATTTGGACCATTTGACCAAGCACAGTCGTGCGGGGGGGGAGGAGAGGGAGAGGAAGGCAGAACCCCAAACGGAAGTGTTTTGGTGCAAGCGGAACCCCGCTTCACCGCCACACCCCCGCAACCGCTACTTGCCAGCTTGCCCTCCGCGGGAGGGCCAACTACCCAGCAGCGGCGGATGGTCCTCCGTCCCTTCCCAGGGGCCCAGCGGCCCTCTCGTACGCTCTCGCCAGGCTTCCGAGGTCACGCGCATCGAGGGCAGCCTGCAGGGCCCTCGGTACCCTTTCTCTGCGGGGGTACTTGCCCTCCTCGATGCGGCTTATATTATCTCGACCCTTTCGGGAAGTGCCCTCACACTTGGACGCCAAGTAGCGCCCATCCAGCGTGGCATATTTGCCACATGTGATACAAAAACGAAGAGGACGGGAGGGAGAAGAGGAGGAGGAGGAGGAAGAGAAAGGGAAGCGAACGACTCACGGGGAGGAGGACGAGGAGGGAGGTGGAAAAACAGGAAGCAAAACAAAGCGAAGCCAAGCGAAGCGCGCGGTGTCGATACGGCGGGACCAGCCCTAGGAGGGCGGCGCGGTTGGGGTCGGAGCCCTCAGGAGTGGTCCTGGGCGACTGGTGGTGTGGAAAAACGGATGCTGAAGGCTGGAGGTCGAAGTGTTGATCTGGTGTAGTCTGGAGTTCGATGGGTGGATCGGGAATGGAAGACCCGACAATGGAGGCAGGAGGAGGAGGAGGAGGGCGGCGAGGACGAGTGAACCCCCCCGTCACACCATACTGGCGCTGCAGCATAACAGATGCACTAAGGAGGAGGTCTGCAAGATGAGTCTCTTTCCGCGGGAGAAGCCTGCGACAGACCTGTCTTTACCGCACCCCGATGGACCTCTCTGGGGCGCAGCAAAAGCGCGACATATGCGCGCCTGGCAGCACTCAGGGCGGGAGAAGTGCAGTTTGGGTTTCGCGCAACGAATGTAGCAACAGCTTCACAGGTGGCACAACCCAGGGAGGGCGTGGTCTAGCTTGGGTCTGCGTGGAGACGCACCCCGCTGGACTCCAACGGAGCTCACGAAAGTGGGGGCAATGCGCAGCTGGCACAACGCAGAGGGGCGAAGTGTAGTTTGAGCCAGCGCAGCTCCACACTCCGGTGGACCCCCAAGAAACTGGGGAAAGCGGCGACACGTACGCAACTGCCACAACCCAAGGAGACGAGGTCCAATGTGGGTCTGCGTAACTGCGCACCCCGCTAGATCCCCCTAAAGCTGACAAAAGGGACGACAGTTGCGCACTTGGCAGAAGGCAAGGAAGCAAGGAAATCGGCGAGGCAACGAACAGAAAGCAAAAGAAAGCCAAGAGACAGCGAGGCGGGAGGGGGGATTTTCGGAGGGGGGGGGGCCCGGTTTCCGGAGGAAGAGGGGGGGAATTTTCACAGTAAAGCGGCGGTGGATCACACTCTCTCTCCTATATATATATACACCTACATATATGTATGTACATGAACTGTGTAAACATATGTGTACACATTTAGATATATATATATGTATATAAATGTATGTATGTACACATACATTATGTATGTGTGTGCGTGTATGTAGTGTACAGTGGTGCAATCGATGTGGGGCGGTACATGTGGTACAATATGTGTTGTGCCATCTACGAGGTGCAATAGATGTAGTGCAAACTATGTTAAGCAGTAAAGTTGGTGCAAAATATGCGGTGCAATGTACGTGGTGCAATATGTGTTGTGCAAGCTGTGCAATGGAATATATCTGGTGCAGTCTATGTGGGGTAAGCACTTTGACCGTCTTGAAGCTGTCCTCTCCGCTGCTCGTGCAAACATCCCACCCTCCCACCCGCAACTTGGTCGCAAGACCTCTTAAGACAAGACCGTGACGGTAGGTACCAGATGGCACTTGGCCAAGACACCGACGCCGACGACGACAGCGACAACGACGACGACGACGGCGCCGCCGACACCGACGACGACGACACCGACGACGTCTCCAACGACGACGACGACAGCGACCACGACGACGACACCGACGACGACGACGACGCCGACGACAACGACGACGATGACAACGACGACGACGACGCCGACGACGACGACGCCGACGACGACGACGACGAAGACAACGACGACGACGACGACGACGACAACGACGTCGCCAACGAAGACGACGACGAGGGAGGAGGGAGGACGACGACGGCGACAACGACGACAACGACGACAACGACGAGGGAGGAGGGAGGACGGCGACGACGCGAACGACGAAGAAGGAGGAAGGACGGCGACGCCGACGACGACAACGACGAGGGAGGAAGGAAGACGCCGACGACGCAAGAGCGCGCGCACGCTTTTGTTGAAAATCCGTGATTAGAAGGAGCGAAGAGGGGGCGGTTGATTAGAGGCAGAGAGAGAGAGAGAAAGACAGATAAGCTAGGTAGAGAAAGAGAGAGAGAGAGAGGGGAGAGAGAGAGAGAGAGAAAGAATGAGGGAGGAGGCAGGAGAGGGGAGGGAAAAGGGAGGGAAACGAGGGAGAGGGAATAGGGCAGAGAGGCATAAGGATGAGGGAAGAGAGAAGGGAGAGAGAAGGGAGGAGAGGAGGGAGGAGGGAGGGGGGAGAGGGAGAAGGAGCAGGAAGGTAAGAGCGTGAACGTTCGAGAAAGTCCTAAGCGAAAGCGCCGTTCCTTCAGGAAGTCTCGGGCGGGCGATCCCCAGACGGGCGGGTCGGGCGGGTGGGACATTCAAGCGGGATGTTTGAGTATGGCGAGAGCGCGATTACTAAGTAAATTGTAACCGCGTCCTTGGCGCAGCGTGTTTCCTGAGCGTCGAAAGCGCGATGTTCGAATAAATTGCATGGCAGTTACAAACGAGAGCGCAATTCCTGAATAAAATGTGACGGGCTCTCTGGCGGGAGCGGGGGTCTTGATTAAATTGCGAGGAAGTCTTGATTCAATTGCAAGGAAGTCTCAAGCGGGAGCGCCACCTGAGTAAATTGTGGGGAAGTCTCACATGGGAGCGGGGGTCCTGACTAAATTGCGAGGACGTCACAAGCGGGAGCACCGGTCCTGAGTAAATTGTGAGGAAATCTCAGGAGCGGGGGTTTTGAGCAAATTTGGAGGAAATCTCAGGCGGGAGCCATTGTTGTTGTAATCCGGGGGGCCAGGAGCACAGTTTGAGGAGCAAGAATTCGCCTGTAAATTACGCTACCGAGGAACCCCACATACTTACTTTATGTCACGTGTGTTCACAACCATATCACATCCCGCTTCGCCATCCTGACGAGCCAGACTGACCAGACCAGCCAGATCAGCCAGACCACCCAGACTGACCAGACCAGTCGGATCAGTCGTTCCAGCCATAACCAGCCAAAGTAATCAGACCAGCCAGCCAGCTGTGCCTGGACGACCGTCGTGCATCGCGGCCGCGGTGAGAGACCACCCCCTGCGCACCCCCTGCCGAGAAAGTGCCACGCCTGCTGTGCCTGGACGACCGTCGTGCATAGCGGCCGCGGTGAGAGACCACCCCTGCGCACCCCCTGTGGTGTCGAGAAGGTGCGCCTGCTGTGCCACGACCGTCGTGCATCGCGGCCGCGGTGAGAGACCACCCCCTGCGCACCCCCTGGTGTCGAGAAAGTGCCACTGTGCCTGGCGTGTAGCGGCCCTGAGAGACGACCGGTGTCGTGCCATAGCCCCGGCCGAGTGAGAGACCACCCCCTGCCCACCCCCTGTGGTGTCGAGAAAGTGCCACGCCTGCTAGGCTTTGCGCCAGTGTCGTGGATAGCGGCCGACTGAGAGACCACCCCCTGCGCACCCCCTGTGGTGTCGAGAAAGTGCCACGCCTGCTAGGCTTTGCGCCAGTGTCGTGGATAGCGGCCGAGTGAGAGACCACCCCCTGCGCACCCCCTGTGGTGTCGAGAAAGTGCCACGCCTGCTAGGCTTTGCGCCAGTGTCGTGGATAGCGGCCGAACTGAGAGACCACCCCCTGCGCACCCCCTGTGGTGTCGAGAAAGTGCCACGCCTACTAGGCTTTGCGACAGTGTCGTGGATAGCGACCGAGCTGAGAGACCACCCCCTGCGCACCCCCTGTGGTGTCGAGAAAGTGCCACGCCTGCTAGGCTTTGCGCCAGTGTCGTGGATAGCGGCCGAGCTGAGAGACCACCCCCTGCGCACCCCCTGTGGTGTCGAGAAAGTGCCACGCCTGCTAGGCTTTGCGCCAGTGTCGTGGATAGCGGCCGAGCTGAGAGACCACCCCCTGCGCACCCCTGTGGTGTCGAGAAAGTGCCACGCCTGCTACAGTGTCGTGGATAGCGGCCGCACCCCCTGCCACCCCCTGTCTGCTAGGCTTTGCGCCAGTGTCGTGGATAGCGGCCGAGCGCCTGTGGTGTCGAGAAATGCCACGCCTGCTTGCGCCAGTGTCGTGGATAGGGACCGCGGTGAGAGACCACCCCCTGCGCACCCCCTGTGGTGTCGAGAAAGTGCCACGCCTGCTAGGCTTTGCGCCAGTGTCGTGGATAGCGGCCGAGCTGAGAGACCACCCCCTGCGCACCCCCTGTGGTGTCGAGAAAGTGCCACGCCTGCTAGGCTTTGCGCCAGTGTCGTGGATAGCGGCCGAGCTGAGAGACCACCCCCTGCGCACCCCCTGTGGTGTCGAGAAAGTGCCACGCCTGCTAGGCTTTGCGCCAGTGTCGTGGATAGCGGCCGAGCTGAGAGACCACCCCCTGCCCACCCCCTGTGGTGTCGAGAAAGTGCCACGCCTGCTAGGCTTTGCGCCAGTGTCGTGGATAGCGGCCGAGCTGAGAGACCACCCCCTGCGCACCCCCTGTGGTGTCGAGAAAGTGCCACGCCTGCTAGGCTTTGCGCCAGTGTCGTGGATAGCGGCCGAGCTGAGAGACCACCCCCTGCGCACCCCCTGTGGTGTCGAGAAAGTGCCACGCCTGCTAGGCTTTGCGCCAGTGTCGTGGATAGGGACCGCGGTGAGAGACCACCCCCTGCGCACCCCCTGTGGTGTCGAGAAAGTGCCACGCCTGCTAGGCTTTGCGCCAGTGTCGTGGATAGCGGCCGAGCTGAGAGACCACCCCCTGCCCACCCCCTTTGGTGTCGAGAGAGTGCCACGCCTGCTAGGCTTTGCGCCAGTGTCGTGGATAGCGGCCGAGCTGAGAGACCACCCCCTGCGCACCCCCTGTGGTGTCGAGAAAGTGCCACGCCTGCTAGGCCTTTGCGCCAGTGTCGTGGATAGCGGCCGAGCTGAGAGACCACCCCCTGCGCACCCCCTGTGGTGTCGAGAAAGTGCCACGCCTGCTAGCCTTTGCGCCAGTGTCGTGGATAGCGGCCGAGCTGAGAGACCACCCCCTGCGCACCCCCTGTGGTGTCGAGAAAGTGCCACGCCTGCTAGGCTTTGCGCCAGTGTCGACTGAGAGACCCCTGCGCACCCCCTTGGTGTCGAGAAAGTGCCACGCCTGCTAGCCTTTGCGCCAGTGTCGTGGATAGGGACCGCGGTGAGAGACCACCCCCTGCGCACCCCCTGTGGTGTCGAGAAAGTGCCACGCCTGCTAGCCTTTGCGCCAGTGTCGTGGATAGCGGCCGAGCTGAGAGACCACCCCCTGCCCACCCCCTTTGGTGTCGAGAGAGTGCCACGCCTGCTAGGCTTTGCGCCAGTGTCGTGGATAGCGGCCGAGCTGAGAGACGCCAGTGTCGTGGATAGCGGCCGAGCTGAGAGACCAACCCCTGCGCACCCCCTGTGGTGTCGAGAAAGTGCCACGAGCTGTGCTGTGCTGTGCTGAGCTGAGCCGTGCTGGGCTGTGCTGAGCTGTGCTGAGCTGAGCCGAGCTGTGCTGTGCTGAGCTGAGCTGAGCTGTGCTGTGCTGTGCTGAGGTGAGTTGAGCTGAGCTGAGCAGTGCTGTGACGAGGGGGGGAAGAGTGAAGTGTGTGTGTGTGTGTGAGTGAGGGGAGGAAGAAAGAGAGAGGAGGGGAGGTGTGAGGAGACGCGGGTGCGGCGCGGCAGGGAAGAAAACCAGAACCCCACGAAGCATGTGGGGAAAAAACAAAGTACAAGCGTCGAGGGGCACACTTTGATTGAGAAAAACAATATGCACCGGTGAGGGGGGATCAACAATAATTACGCGACCGAGGAACGCCACATGTTTATATCATGGCTGAAATGATGATAACTGAAATGAAGCATGTGAAAGTGATGTTGGTGGCCGTTGCCCCGCCGATACCGTTGGTGACGCCACTCAAGAGAAGAGGTGGAAGAGGAGAAGCGCCGCGCCAGCCACACTTTGCGAGCCCGAAACAGATAGCGACCGCACCCCGAAGGCACCCCCTTGTGGCGTCGAGAAAGTGCCACGCCTGCCACGCTTTGCGAAGCCGAAACGGATATCGACCGCACCCCTGGCGCACCCCCTGTGGCATCGAGAAAGTACCGCGCCTGCCACGCCTTGCGAGCCCGAAACGGGTAGCGACCGCACCCCCAACGCACCCCCTTGTGGCGTCGAGGAAGTGTCACGCCTGCCACGCTTTGCAAGCCCGAAACGGATAGCGACCGCACCTCCAGCGCACCCCCTTCGGCGTCGAGAAGTTGCCACGCCTGCCACGCTTTGCGAGCCCGGAACGGATAGCGACCGCACCCCCAACGCACACACTGCGGCGTCGAGAAAGTGCCACGCCTGCCAACGCTTTGCGAGGCCGAAACAGATAGCGACCGCACCCCCGGCGCACCCCCTGTGGCATCGAGAAAGTACCGCGCCTGCCACGCCTTGCGAGCCCGAAACGGATAGCGCCCGTACCCCCAGCGCACCCCCTGTGGCGTCGAGGAAGTGTCACGCCTGCCACGCTTTGCGTGGCCGAAACGGGTAGCGACCGCACCCCCAACGCACCCCCTGTGGCGTCCAGAAAGTGCCACGCCTGCCACGCTTTGCGAGCCCGAAACGGATATCGACCGCACCCCCAGCGCACCCCCTGTGGCGTCCAGAAAACGCCACGCCTGCCAGGCTTTGCGGTAGTGTCGTGGACTGAGAGACCACCCCCTGCGCACCCCCTTGTGGTGTCCAGAAAGTACCACGCCTGCTGGGCTTTGCGACAATGTCGTGGATAGCGGCCGCGCTGAGAGACCACCCCCTGCGCCCCCCCTATGGTGTCCAGGAAGTGCCACGCCTGCTAGGCTTTGCGAAAGTGTCGTGGTTAGCAGTCGCGCTGAGAAACCACCCCGTGCGCACCGCTTATGGTGTCCAGAAAGTGCCACGCATGCTAGGCTGTGCGACAGTGTCGTGGATAGCGGCCGCGCTGAGAGACCACCCCCTGCGCACCCCCTATTGTGTCCAGAAAGTGCCACGCCTGCTAGGCTTTGCGACAGTGTCGTGGATAGCGGCCGCGCTGAGAGACAAGCGCCTTCGCACCCCCTTATGGTGTCCAGGAAGTGCCACGCCTGCTAGGTTTTGCGACAGTGTCGTGGATAGCGGCCGCGCTGAGAGACCACCCCCTGCGCACCCCCTTATGGTGTCCAGGAAGTGCCACGCCTGCTAGGCTTTGCAAAAGTGTCGTGGTCAGCAGCCGCGCTGGGAGACAACCCCCTGCGCACCCCCTATGGTGTCCAGAAAGTGCCACGCCTGCTAGGCTTTGCGACAGTGTCGTGGGTAGCGGCCGCGCTGAGAGACAACCCCCTGCGCACCCCCAATGGTGTCCAGAAAGTGCCACGCATGCTAGGCTTTGCGACAGTGTCGTGGATAGCGGCCGCGCTGAGAGACCACCCCTGCGCACCCCCTATGGTGTCCAGAAAGTGCCACGCCTGCTAAGCTTTGCGACAATGTCATGGATAGCGGCCGCGCTGAGAGACCACCCCCTGCGCACCCCCATACGGTGTCCAGAAAGTGCCACGCCTGCTAGGCTTTGCGACAGTGTCGTGGATAGCGGCCGCGCTGAGAGACCACCCCCGCGCACCCCCTATAATGTCCAGAAAGTGCCACGCCTGCTAGGTTTTGCGACAGTGTCGTGGATAGCGGCCGCGCTGAGAGACCACCCCCTGCGCACCCCCTATGGTGTCCAGAAAGTGCCACGCCTGCTAGGCTTTGCGACAGTGTCGTGGATAGCGGCCGCGCTGAGAGACCACCCCCTGCGCACCCCCGTCCAGAAAGTGCCACGCTGCTAGGCGTTGCGACAATGTCGTGGATAGCGGCCGCGCTGAGAGACCACCCCCTGCGCACCCCCTATGGTGTCCAGAAAATGACACGCCTGCTAGGTTGTGCGACAGTGTCGTGGATAACGGCCGCACTGAGAGACCACCCCCATGCGCACCCCCTATGGTGTCCAGAAAGTGCCACGCCTGCTAGGCTTTGTGACAGTGTCGTGGGTAGCGGCCGCGCTGAGAGACAGACCCTGCACACCCCCTATAATGTCCAGGAAGTGCCACGCCTGCGAGGCTTTGCGACAGTGTCGTGAATAGCGGCCGCGCTGAGAGACCACCCCCTGCGCACCCCCATGTAATGTCCAGAAAGTGCCACGCCTGCTAGGTTTTGCGTCAGTGTCGTGGATAGCGGCCGCGCTGAGAGACCACCCCCTGCGCACCCCCTTATGGTGTCCAGAAAGTGCCACGCCTGCTAGGTTTTGCGACAGTGTCGTGGATAGCGGCCGCGCTGAGAGACCACCCCCTGCGCACCCCCTATGGTGTCCAGAAAGTGCCACGCCTGCTAGGCTTTGCGACAGTGTCGTGGATAGCGGCCGCGCTGAGAGACCACCCCCTGCGCACCCCCATGTAATGTCCAGAAAGTGCCACGCCTGTTAGGTTTTTGGACAGTGTCGTGGATAGCGGCCGAGCTGAGAGACCACCCCCGCGCACCCCCTATAATGTCCAGAAAGTGCCACGCATGCTAGGCTTTGCGACAGTGTCGTGGATAGCGGCCGCGCTGAGAGACCACCCCCTGCGCACCCCCTATGGTGTCCAGAAAGTGCCACGCCTGCTAGGCGTTGCGACAGTGTCGTGGATAGCGGCCGCGCTGAGAGACCACCCCCTGCGCACCCCCATACGGTGTCCAGAAAGTGCCACGCCTTGTAGGTTGTTCGACAGCGTCGTGGATAGCGGCCGCGCTCAGAGACCACTTGCTGCGCACCCCCCGTGGTGTCCAGAGGTGATGTGCTGTGGTGTGCTGTGTAGTGTTGAGGTGTGCTGTGCTGAGGTGCTGTGCTGTGCTGTGCTGTGCAATGCTGTGCTGAGATGAGCTGTGCTGTGCTGTGCTGTGATGTGTACGTGCTGTGTGTCAATGTGCTGTGTGCTGTGCTGTGCTGAGCTGTGCTGAGCTGTGATGTGCTGTGCTCTGCTGCACTGTGGTGCGCTTGCTGTGCTGTGCAGTGATGCGCTGAGCTGTGCTGTGCTGAGCTGTGCTGTGCTGTGCTGAGCTGTGCTGTGTTGTGCTGCGCTGTGCTGAGCTGAGCGGTGCTGTGCTGCGCTGTGCTGCGCTGTGATGTGCTGTGTGAGAAGGAGAGGGAGGTGGAAGCTGGGGTGTGAGGGCCGCGGGTGCGACGCGGCAGGGATGAAAACCAGAACCACACTAAGCATGTGCGGAATTATTCTTCAGAAATAAGAGTTCAACAACAACAACAACAACAACAACAACAACAACAACAGCAGCAGCAGCAGCAGCAGCAGCAGTCTCGTCATCATGATCAGCAGCAGCATCGTCATCCTCATCATCTCCGTATGCACCAAGTCCGTCAAAGACAACCCAGAGATCCTCCTCTTGTCACCGCCCCGTGAGGCGCCTGGAGATCCAGCTGCCCAGCCACTGCAGCCGAGCCTGGTCGCGAGAGAGCAAGTGGGGGGAACGGCTCACTCTTGCCCTGGCAGCGTACAGACATCCACCATGATCCCCCTCCTCGGCGTCGTTGTCGTCGTCCTCCTCAGGCTCATCCTCATCGTCGCCGTCGTCACCATCATCATCATCATCAGCAGCAGCAGTAGCAGCATCATCAGCAGCAGCATCATCCTCATCCTCGAAGGTCGTCATCGTCATCATCATCAGCGTTTTACGCATCCCCCTCTTCCTCCTGCTGCTGCTCTACATCGCCGATCAGCCAGCCAACCAGCCAGCCAGCGTCAGCCGTGAATGCTTTGGGCGCCCCCGTGATTCACATACTGGAACGCATTAGAGGCAAGCGGCACGAAGCAACGGCCAAAGCTACGACAGGCAGAAGTGCGAGTTGCTGAGTCTCCTCCGTCTCGCGGTCCTATCCATTCCCTCCATTCGTGATCGAAGAGTGTAGGAAGCATGAGCTACACTGGCGAGCCTTCGAAACGGGACGATAGCGTGGGACCCTACAGCCAAACGAAGGGGGGTATGACCTGTGTGTCGCCGTCACCATAAAATCCACTATCCGCCACCTGCTGTTACTCTTCCTCCTCCTCCTCCTCCTCATCCTCCTCCTCCTCCTCCTCTTCCTCCACATCCTCCTCCTCCTTCTCATTATCCTCCTCAGTTCCCCCTCCACCTTGTAACCATCCTGTTCTATCCCTCCTCCCCCTCCTCCACCACCTCCTCCGTTTGATCCTCCACCACCTCCTCCCCGTTCTCTTCCTCCATCTCTGGAGTGAGACGGTTGCTTCAAGCTGAGGGAAAAGGGAGAAGGCCGAAGGGGAAAAGAGCGAAAGTAGGTTAGGAGGGCAGAAAAGGTAAGGTCGCTCCCTCTCTCCTCTCCAGCTCCACTTCCCTTCTCAAACCCTCCTCCTCCTCCTCCTCCTCCTCCTCCTCATCATCATCATCATCATCATCATCACCACCACCACCACCACCACCACCATCAGCATCAGCATCAGCATCAGCATCAGCATCAGCAGCAGCAGCAGCATCATCATCATCATCATCATCATCATCATCATCATCATCATCATCATCATCATCATCATCATCATCATCATCATCTTCATCATCATCATCATCATCATCATCATCATCATCATCATCATCATCATCATCATCATCATCCACCCCTTCCCCTCCTCCTGCACCTTCCGTTCTGCTGACTTCTGATCAGCTGGACTGGGCTCGCTTCCTTGACGTTCAGGCGATGCGCAATGCGTAGCCCGTTTCCCTGGCCACGGGCTTCCGAAGGCGCCACAACATCGAGGCCCTCATGGCACCACCGTGGCTCGCTGACCGAACCTGCCCTCTTATTCATCCTCACGAAGGCCTTTGGCGGTTCCCAGGGGTCCCTGGACCCTGCAGCATCCCGAAGAAAAAGGACCAGACCCGAAGCCCTCCAGAGACCTAAGGAGAGCCGAAAGCATCGCAAAAAACGTTGATCCTCGATCCTCGCTGATCGAGGAGGAGGAGGAGGAGGAGGAGGAAGAGGAGGAAGAGGAGTCCAGTTCTTCATCCTCCGTCTTTTTTGACGGCCCCAAGGGCCAGAAAGCAGCTTCCGGTTACTGCAAAACGCGGAGACCCATCGGACTCGACATTGAATTACCTGACGCGAGCATCCCATTATGCGCATGTCATTTCCAAGCGCTTCCAACCGGGAGTGACAGTGCGAGAGAGATCTTAGCCTGCTGCATCGCGGTGATCGCAGGGCTTTGAATGCACAGGAATCGGTGGCTCCCGACGACGCCTCGCTCCAGACAGCCCCCCGAAGTCCGGCCGCGCACGAAACGAACGCCTCGCTCGAGACATGCTCGGGGTGGTCCAAGCGGGCGCCCAGCCCGAGGCATCCCCACCATCTGGCCGCGAGAGCGAGCGAGAGCCCCCTCGGGGTGCTAAAACGAGCACCTCGCGCTCGAGACGTCCCCAGAGTCTGCTTGGAAAGCAGACAGGAGCCAGGGGCTGCGAACGTAGAGAGCAGAAAATCCACCCCCGTAATAAGCAACCCGACGAGCGAAGCCGATTAGTAAACGCGCCCAGGGAAGGAATCGAACAGGGCAGGCCTGTTGAGTAGACGCCCACGGCCGTGCAGTAAACGCCAACTGTTGGGGTAGGGGTGAACCTTTCCCTCCCTTGAAACAGACGCCTCGCTCGAGATCTCAGCACGATCGCGAACGGGGAAAGGGGTGGATAGCAAAGGGGGGGGTTCAGAATCAGCTCGCGTAGCTGATTTTCCCGGCGCCTCCCACCGCCAGGAGGCGCCCATGCATCGATCAATGGGCCTGGCGGCGGGGCCGAAACCAGCTGCGTGCAGCAGATTTCGTACCCCCCCCTTTCCCTATCCCCCCCTTTCGTTCGGCCCGACCTTGGAGGGTGAAAACGGGCGCCTCATAATCTGCTCAGAAAGCAGGAGTCGGGTGCTCCAAACGGGCGTTTCGCTTGACACATCCCCGCGGCCGCGAACGGGCGAGTGTCCCGTCCCTGGCCCCCCCCCCGCCTTAGGGTGCCCAAATGTCATATCTGCTCCATCGCGGTGAATTTGTTGTGCGAATGTCCGAGTACGAACGAATCGAACATGAATGAGCCGGGATGTGAAAGAGTCTGAACATGAGGGCATGTGAGACCATCTGAGTGTGAACAGTGCGTGCGCGAGTGACTGTACATATGAGCGCGTTTGACTGGAGATGTCTGAATGTGAATGAGACTGAACGCGAGTGAGTCTGAGCATGAGTCGGTCTGACTGAAAAGGCGGGAAGACGCGGGTGCAGAGTGAGGCGGAGACGTCGTACTAATAAGAAGAATCCCGTGTGGGAGGGAAAGGGGAAGAGGAGGAGGAGGAGGAGGAAGAGGCGGAGAATGCATGGCCGATCATTTATCTTCCGCCAGGCTCGTTCACTGCCTGTGTTTCCCGAGCATGTCCCCGAGAGGGGCACACGTAAACGAGAGAAACGCCACAGGTATGAAACAGCTGTTCAATCGAAACCACCTGCCCAGTGCCCCGGCCAGCTTTAGAGGAGGGGGGAAAGAAACAGGGAGGGAAGGAAAAGCTTGAGCCCCGAACGGCGGCAGGGCGGCGTCATGTCAACCGATCTTCAAGCAACACCGTCCAGTCGGACTCGAATGCACGGCCGATTATCTTTATTCCGCCAAGTTTGTTCACTGTCCGTGTTTCACGAGCATGTCCCCGAGAGGGGCAGATGTAAACGAGAGAAACGCCACAGGTTTGAAACAGCTGTTCAATCGAAACCACCGATCCCGTAAACTGGCCCAAGAAATTTGCGAACACAGTCCTGGACTCATCCAAAATGAAGCCGGATTTTCTGAACACCCATTGATACAATAGCGTTCCAAAAACACACTACCAAAGCACGACAGAACTTATAAGGATAAATATCCGCCTTCTTGGACACAATCGTTGAGCCTTTCATCTCGAGTGTCTCGTGAGGAAGGAAGGAGAACCTGCATACACCTTTCGCTGAGCATCGAAACCCCCGCGGCTGCAAATCGATATAGCATCCTAAAACCTCGTAGACTTTCCCCACCGAATACCGAAAGCGCACATATCAAAAACAACGTCAGTCACGCCACGGGACCCCGGGTCCCGAACCATTCGAAGCTGCCTCCAAATATGCGAGCTCGCTGGATTCTCGACGACCACGGGACATCTGCGAAGGCGGCAGTCACGAAATATGGATAGGGTAGCAGCACACAACTTATTTCCAAGATCGACCTGTCGCTGGCAAGCTTCGTCTAGTCCAGGGAGGCCTTTGAGGTGGTCAGAGGTCCGGAAAGCAGGGGGGCCGTTCGGACGATTACGCACCACAGAGAACGAGATTCACGGAGTTCCCATGAAAACGGCGATCACAAGCCCAGACCGAATCCAACCCGGGATACGCTTGACCAGGGACAAAGCGGACAAATCATGATCGGGCCCATTGCGAATGTCGATCTCGAAAACTGGATGCCTCCCTCGCACGGGCCGTCTCCACGTCTCGGAGAGGTGTCCCGATCCTGAGAAGACCTCGAGGATGGTTGGGCTACCAAGAGATCTCACAGCCCGCGGGAGGCATTCACGAGGATGTCGCCAACGTTCTGGGCCCCAGACTCCGCGGCGGTCAACGCGCTGAGGTCGAGCAGGCTCAGCTGCTCGTTGATCCGACCACCGCGCTCGTTGCGGGCCAGGCTCCTGTCGCTGGCCCAGCGGCCTCTCTCCTGAGCGCTGAGGAGCGACCTGGCATTGAAGAGCAGCTCGTGCGAGACTCCTCCGCGGCGGAGGCGGCGCAGGCTGAAATCCCCGAGCAACGACAAGCCAGCGGCGGCGGCCGCCGTCTTCAGGGCGCGACCCCACTGGGCCTGCCCGAACGGGACTCGCGAGCACCATCGGCATCCACGGGAAGAGTGGGTTGTCCGCCAGCAGGCCCCCAACCACCGTTCCGTCATGGAGGTGTCGGCCTCATCTTGCGGCCGCAGCAAATTCGACCAGAAGCCGCCGGCGTCCGACAACGGAATCGCACGCGAGGCCGCGGGAGCCGCGATGAGCTTGCCCTTCAGGCGCAGGCACTCGCTCGGGCGCGGGTAGAGCGCGAAGGCGATGACGCTCGCAACGGCCTCCTGGACTTGACCTGCTCCGATCACGTGCTGGACGCACAGGCAGAGGCCGACCCGCGGGCGCGGCAAGCGGCTCTGGGCGGGCACCATGTGCATCCATCCTGTCAAAGGCGCTGCGAGGGAGCTCGAGCACTTCACCCCGTGGGAAGGCCCAATAGTAGCGAAGCCCTGCCATCAGCTGCGTCGGAACGCAGGCGAGCTCGCCCGCGAAGAACTTCTCGTGCACGTACGTCATCAAGACAAAGTCGATCGCTGGAGCCGATGTCGCGAGCTCCTCGAAGTCCTGGACCAGGCCGCGCGCCGGACACCACTGGTGGAAGGCGCTCACATCCGCGTGGTAGTCCTGGGCGGCCTTCGGGGTGATGCCCTGCAGCTCGAGGAACGACAGTTGCTCGGCAGTCGGCGGAGCGGCAGCGGCCAGCGTGAAAGCCCTGCCCCGCTCGGCCGCTCTCTCCTCCGCGGCGCCGCGGCCGTGGGGAGCCCACTCGCGGTGCGGCCTCGACCTGGTCGGTGCTGCCAGGTCCGGTGTCGCCGCGGAGCGCGCGAGGGCGCCCGCTCGAACCCCCTGGGGGCGCGCCACCAGCGCCAGGCTCGCAGCCGCGCCCGTCGCCGCAAAAGCCATCTCGGAGGGCCCTGAGGCCGTCTAGGCCGAGTGCCACAACTGGTCTCGGTGCAGCATCGAACTTCGAGAAGCGGCATCAGCTGCATTGGACTCGGTCGGGACCCATCTCCAACGGACGCAACAATTGGATCCAACAAGAAGGGCTGCGATCTGGCGGCAGCACTGAAGCATGCCAGGGCTAAATGATCGCCCCTTCGCGACTGCCAGGATAGGCGCCGCGCTGTCATCCTGAATCAGGTGCTTGCGACCAATGCTCGAGACGTTCCGATCAATGCGTTTCAAAGTGAGTACCAGAGCCCAGCCTCCGAGCGGGACCACTTTTGGGACATCACGAGGGACCAGTCGCCGTCGCACATAGACTCGGGGACCTCGGGGACCGGGGTCTTCGGGATCTCGGAGACCTGGGGAGAGGCGGCGACGCCGCCCGCTGACAGAGCACTTCAAGGTGGAATCCCGTGGCTTGAGGAGGGCCTCGTGGGCCGCCGAGCACCGCATGCGCTCCGAGTAGTGGCCCACCTCCTGAACACCCTCCCGGGCGCGAGGCCCCCTCACCACACCCGCGCCCCACCAAGATGCATCCGCACAGTAGACCGTCAGGGCCCAGGCGGCGCCGACATCGCGGAAAGCGAGGGCGACGCGGGCGGCGCACCATCGAAGCTCCCGATTCACAGACTTCCAACTGACGAAAGAAATGGCCTGCGTTCTCGATGAAAAAAAGAAGCCTGCAAACACGATAGCAACTCGCGGCGCATCAACGCGCGGGATGCGAAGTGCGACGCGACGATCCGAACAAGATCCCCGGAGGCGTGGTTCATGTTCGCCACCGCAAGACACCACATCCGGATACGCCAGCCTACGCGGTGGATGACGCCGACGGCCGGCACGCTGGAGTCGAAAGCCCAACCGAGAATGCCCCCGCCGGCTGACACCGTTGCACCGTGAGCGCGCAGCCCAGCCTCTCGGAGGCGGCGGTCGACCGACTCACTCACGGCCAGGGTCGGACCCTCGGACAGCCCCAGAGCCACGAAATTGTCGACGTACTCCGCGTGCAACACCTGGGAGGAAGACTGCGCCATTCGGACGGGGAGATGAGCATCATCGAAGGCAAACCTAGGAGAGGCATAAGTATTTACGCGGGCACGGCATTCCATGATTATCTGGCAGATCCAAAGGCTATGCTTCCAACTCATGGGGACGGCGGTAAAGCACGGGGTAACCCAGTCGCTGGCCCGCAGCGGGACACCATCACTGTCGGCTGAAATTTCCAAGACACAAGCCTTGATCCGAAGAAGTCCAAAGTACTGCCAATAATCCCCAGGCAACTGATTGCCATGGAAAGAGTTCTCTATATCTGTCCCCCCAGTGTAGATCGGACCCCACTGTCAACCTCTAAAACTGAAAATGCTGTAGCCGCTGCGAGGTCAACGCGTGCAGGAACACCAAAATGCCCCCCCGCGGCCCAGCCGCCCAAGATGAAACGCAGGTCGCCGCTCATTTTCGCCACAAAGGAGACGCCCACGCGAGCGATACAGTCTCGCCTCCACACAACCAAGTTGAAGCCACGTAACCGATACAGAAATTGGCCACAGTCTAGGATGAGAACGATGGTAGGGATCATTGTAGATTCTGGGAGGTTTGGAGGGTCTGCGTCCACTGGATCAGGACGTCGAAGCGCGTTAAACTCGTCAGTTATGGCGGAGCCGATCGTACCACCCAGTTGTAAAAGTCCCGTCGGAGACCAGCCTCGAGGAGGAGGAGCAACAGGATTTACATTTCCCTCACTGACGGGAAGCACTGTTCTGCCAACTGTAGAGTAACCAGGGTTGATGCGGAGCTCTCGCAAGGCCCCTGCAAAAGTAAGATCTTCGGGGAGCCTTCCAAACGTTCGACAGCCCGACTGACATGCGCAAGACAAGCCTCCTGGGCCATTGATGCCGCATGATCCACCCGAGAGACTTCAGCCCCATACATCTCATTCAAGACTGTCACAACCTCCGAGACCAAGGAAGCAGCCCGGCACCTGGACTCAAGTCTCCTACGAACTTTGCGAGAGACGGAGGTCCTAAGGGGGTCAGGAGAGGCCTGCACAGGCAGGGGGAAAAGGTCTCGGGGGCAGGCTCGCGCCACGGGGCCAGGTGCCACGCAACGGCGAAAGCCTATGAGGTATGGAAAGGGCCAGAGCGCGCCACGCGACCTGACAAAGACTGGCTGACATTCGGGACGAGCCTGCCACAGCGCGTCTAGCCCCGAAGCGGGGGGGGGGATACCAGCAACGCGTGGGGACGCGTCCCTGACGGGCACAGGGGACTCAGGAGGCTGGGCCCGCATCGCCCCGTTCTTCTCGGGCTTTGCGGACCTGCTCGAGGACGTTGGCGCCCCGCCCCAACTGCCTGCCAACCCATTCAACGAGGGCGGGACAGACCATAGCCTCACCCGCACCACGTTGACCACGAGACGCATTGTACTCGTCAAGGTAGCCGAAGGCGCCAGTAATGGCACCACGGCCCCCACGACCACAACCCTTCTTACCTCTGAGGGTCCCGCGAACACATCATGCTTAGAATACGCATACTCGACAAATTGCACCTCCCTCCTGAGACTCTAGATCCCTGCTACATTCGGCAAATCGATGCAATCATAGCACCAAAGAGTCTTCGAAGCCTTCAAACCGAACTCGTGCATGCTGGCTCCCCAAATATCGTTGTGCAAACGGTGGATCATCACAAAGAAACGATGGTGTTCGAGCGGCCCGCCGCCTCGCCTGTCGATCCAGCGGCAGCACCAGAGCGCTGCGCGTGGGCCCTCGATCGCCAAGTCGGGGAAAAGCGATCTCAGTAAGTGCTGAGACCACTTCGCGCCGCGGACGACGAGTTCGAAGCCCATTGATCGAGATCACCGAGAGGATACTCGCGTTTCCCGCAACCTCCAAACCTTTGTACTCGTCAATCTGGTCGGATCGAATCTGACGCACCAGAACTACTCCTCCACCTGCAGGGGTGTGGGCACCGATGCCGCCAGTCACCATCTCATGGCCGTTCAGAGTGACGATCGTACCGCGCGGCCCGACTGCCGTGGTCTCCACGGTCACCAGCACAGGCTGCGCGACGACTGGAGCTGGCAGTGCCAGCGGTGCGGCCGCTGCCCCAGGCAGCGCAGCGGCAGCGCCACCATGCCCAGCGGGCAGGCCAGCGGCCACAGGCGCACGCGGACCCCACGGGCCCCGCTGCCTGCACGGCCACTGCGCCCAGCTGGGCCAGCGCCAACGGGGCGGCGGCGGCAATGCCAGCGCCAGCCGCCGGAGGCCTGCCTCCTGGTGGGATTCCTGCTCCAGCCATCGCGCCGGCAGCCGGCACCCCAGCGGCTGCTCCTCCCGCGGCACCAGGGGCAGGCGGTGGCCTGACAGACTCGATCAGGCTGCTTCTAGGCGGGAGTACACGAGGCTGTCCACCCGCCACCTCGCGGGCGATGTACTCGTCGTCGCAGATCGCCGTCGCCGCCACCTTCAACGTGTCCGGAGCCGCCGCGTCGGGATCCCGATCGAACCGATACACCCGATTGCGAGGGACACCAGGTGGAGGAGGCCGGTGTGCCTCGGCCGAGCGCCAAGCCTCGATGTCTCGCGAGGCTCCCGAGAGGTCGATACGCTCGGGGTCGCCGTCGGGCGAGACCCCCACGACCTCATCGGGGTCAGTCGCTTGCGTCGCCGACGAGGCCAGCACCCCGACGACGCGTCGCTGATGGTACAGGTCCTCGCCCTGGCATCGTAACCACAGCCAAGGCCTCAGACTCGGCGGCTGCCCTGCTGCGGCCATGGCGGCTGCGTCGACAGCAGAAGACCAGAGCGCTACAAAGGACTTCCACTCCTCCCACCACTGCTGCGGTGGTCAGCCCTCCCACGGCGGCGCCCGCCAGCGCAGCGTACCAGCTCCCACGGGCCGATCCTGCTCCAGGCGCCTCGCGCGGGCAGGCGGCGGCCACGCTGCCAGCGGTCGAGGGGCACGGCGGGCACGCGGGGCACGGCGGCGCAGCTGGACAGTGCAACTCTCCGCACACCAGCGACCCGCAGGCCGCGTCGGGGCACCGTGGGCAGGAGGCGAACCACGCGAGCGCCGCCTCGCCAGCCCAGTGCGCGGCGAGCAGGGAGAGGTCGGGCATACACTGACGCAAGGATGGTGTGAGCCCCCCCTTAAAAGCTTGAGCCCCGCACGGTGGCAGGGCGGCGTCATGTCAACGAATCTTCAAGCAACCCCGTCCAGTCGGACTCAAAGGAGGAGGAGGAGGAAGAGGAGAAGAGGATGCCCTGCGCTTCTCAGACCCTCAAACATTGTAGAGTCCTGGTCGAGGAAGTTCGGGGGCAGAGCTGTTGATCACAGTATTCCAAAAGAGGCTCGAATTCCTGGACTAGGCCAGACCTTACCTCGAGATGTCCAACACCTAGTCGGTGGGCCACACCGCGACAGAGAGACGCTCAATGCGTGCTCGACTTATGTCGTGAGCGGTCTAAACTGCCGCGCACCAGTCAGTGTATGCCGCAAGCCGTGCTGTCAAAGGCGCATGGCGAATCCTGCTCCGTAACAAGATTATCCGAAGAGGGGCTTGCATGGTCAATCGTAGGGACGAGGTTGCATGCCGCGTGTTCCGCCCCCGCCCCTTTGAGAGGACCAAACCAGGGGCCCCTCGGGGCCCGTCAGGAGATGCCTTACAGTCGGCCCGTATCATAAGGATGCGCGAGATGCAATGGCCTTGGACGCCCATGTCGAAGCTTTTCGAGCGGGGCGCGGCCAACGAAAGTGGCTAAAGATGGAACGAGGAGGCAAGGATGCAAGGCTACCCTTGGGAAGGCTGCCCATCCTTACTGTGCGGGCCGACTGAATGAGGATTGCCTTCATCCTGGGTCGACTAACTTCGTGCCCAGCGCCCCGCGCCCTCAACACAAAGCACGACCATCACTGCATGCTCCCGCCTGCTCGGGCAACGGCGGCATGGATTGCCGCACCGCCGATACCACCGACTGCGCCACGAACATCTGCGGCCGCCACCCCACCGCTACTGCGACCATCCACCACCTCCCGACCCGACACGCACGCTGCATCACGCCGCCATTCCCGCAACCACCCCTACGACCACTTCGCGGCACAGGCCGCGACGCGCGAGGCGCCATCGTCTCCGTACCCCATCGGGTTGCCTAGCTGATCGCACAGCCAAAGAATAGGGCAAGAAAGATCTGCCTCTGGACCAGGATCGGAGTCGGGGTCGTTGGTGCCATGGCGGATGCTCTCATCTTGGAAAATCATGAGGGAGGAGGAGGAGGGAGGAGGAGGGAGGAGGAGGGAGGAGGAGGGAGGAGGAGGAGGAGGAGGAGGAGAAGGGAGGAGGAGGAGGAGAAGGGAGGAGGAGGAGGAGGAGGAGGAGGAGGAGGAGAAGAGAGGAGGAGGAGAAGGAATCCCAGGCCCTGTTCATTGGCACTGCCCTTGGAGGCTGCCCCGAGTCCGGCACCATGACCAGCATGCAAGGCCAAGGCAGCTCCAGACAGGTTAAGGCCTGCGTTTCGCCCGGCGCACACCTCGAGCGCAATCGAAGAGGTCAAGCCGTTCGTTCTCGGTGCATTGTGAGCCTCTTGCTATTCTCGTCTCCCTCCTTCTCTCCTCGGGCCCCTGCCGTCAATCCTTTCATACGGTCGTGCCTGAGGGTCTCGCAGGTGAGAATATGTCCAGGACTGCAGCGGCTAAACAATGTCCTTCTGACCTTTGCCGTCAACCGTCCCAGGCGGTTGTGGCATCCGCTGCTGCCGAGCACTTCGCTAAAAAGGCATTGAGATCCAGAAGTCTGGAATGTAGTCGCCCTTCGAACCCCCCCACAGCGAAGGTGAACCAACATGCTTCATATTGCCACTGATGGCACTGCCGTGCGTTCATATACACAACGTTAGACATTTGTATTAATAGACACTTGTGCAAGATGTATGCACGCACATACATAAGCACATGTGGACTGCTCGATAGCACTATGTATATGCATATGCAGGGTTGTCTGCCTGATTAGATGTGCTTATATGTATGCTTGCCACATGTATGTATATATGTGTGGATAGCCCTCTGCTGAAACAGATCCCTCTACACCCACCCTTTCTCTTACAATATCATGTTGATGGGATAACTGCACCATCCTTGGTTCAACCACTACAGATCGGGAGGAGGGGATGGAGAGGCGGGGAGACGACAAGCATGGGAGGAGGAGGAGAAAGGCGACGAGGAGAAGGGAGGAGGAAGGAGGAAGGAAAAGGGACGAGGAGGAGGAAAGAAGGTCCCGCCTCCCAGGGCTGGCCCGTGCCCACGCCATCCTGGGCCGCCATCCACTCCGCCCCCGCTGGGCACGACGAGGCCTCGGGTTCCACGCGCCGCTGCGCGATGCGTGCGCACGGGGGCCTGTCGAGAGGCGCACGCGCACGCGCGCGGGCTCATTTTCGTTGTCGTGGTCGTCGTCGTCCCCCTCCTCCTCCTTCCCCTTCCTCCTCCTCATCTGCCTCCTCCTCTTCCTACTCCTTGCGCTTCTGTCTTCAGTGACGAATTCAGCTCGCTAACACTTTTGGCGATAGGCGTGTCACGTGGCAAGCGCATGGCACTCCCGAACTTCTGGACGATGTAGGTGTGTGAGACACGATAGGCTTCCAGGAGGTATCGGTGGAATGGGCGAGGCCTCAAGGGGCCACAGACAGCACGCTTGTATCCGATCATACTCTTGTGCACGCTTGAATCAAAGCTGGACCCAAAAAAACGCAGGAATAATATCACAAAGCCCAAGACAAACTCGTGCTTGGTTCAGTGGACTCCCCAGTGTGAGCACCAGTATCGCCGCATGGTTGACAATATGTTGCGTGCTCTTGCCCGCGCATCAGCACCTGAGGACACGGCCATGGCGCCGTCTCTGCAGAATGCTTAGCCTGTCTTGGGGGACGAGAGAGGGACGGAGGAGACTATCAGCATGCTCTCTGACATTGAGGAAACACGAGGAGGCCATTGAGGAAGTCGAGGGGGAGGTGAAGGAGGAGATCTTGAACCCAGGGGACGCCCTGAACTCGTGTATCCGTCGAGCTGCCGAATCTACGCCACATGTATCGGGGAGGGGCGAAAGGAGACCTCGGCACAAGAACGGCTCTGGCTCTGAGAGAAGGAAGTTCGGAACCTGCGTCGCCAGAAGTGGGCCGAGCTTAAGCAAGTTCAGAAAGTCCATACACCACTCAAGCGACGATTTCAAGCTGCTCTCACTCGACTTGCACATGAGGAAAATAGAAGGAGTACAAGGACTAAGACGGAGGTGCTGCAGGTGCTGACGGAGGAGGGGGTCATGAAGGTCTCGGAGGATATCGAGGAGTGGGCCAAAGAGGTAGGGAGGTTCGGAACAGCCAGCGTGGAGGATGGTGCACGCCGTTGGGAGACGGAGCAGGTTCTTGCTGAGTGTCGGCAGATGCTCTCGGACGAGGGCGCCTCTGCGATCCAGATACCGTTGAGTCTGGTGCGTCAAGCTCTAGCTAGACTGAAAAATGGGGGGGGGGCACTTCACATGACGACATCTCGCCCGAAATGCTTAAGTTGCTTCCTTGGACCTCGGTTCGAAAGGTAAGACTACTGTTCCAGGAGTTGGGTTCGAGGCGGACTTTGATTCCTGACACTTGGAAGCAGTTTCTTGTCACACTTATCCCCGAAAACTCGACGAACGATCGCCCTGGAAGACACGCGGAAACTATGCCTGGTTCCTTTGATGCCAAAATGGTACAGCTCGTGTTTTACGATCCTGGCCGAGGGACAGCTAGCTAAAACACAGTATTCGACATGCCTCGTTGGTTTTGCGAGAGGAAGACGGCCGCATCAAATCACAGCAGCAGCCAAAAGCGTGTGTCAACATGCAGCGTTGTGGGGAAAGGAGGAGGCACTGCACCTAGCGTCCCTTGATGTCCTTCAATGCTTTAATCACGTCACGGTCAGGCTAGCCTATGTTGCTCTTGCTGCCCTGGGTCTCCCGATGACCCTGATCTATGCTAGCTATGCTGGCCCCACGGGGTGCAAATATTGTAAGACGAGCTTCGAAGGGGTACAATGGGGTGCTTGGATTGCCTGGGATCGGTCTATACAGACGGGAGGTGTTGAGAGCCCCTTTACCTTTAAAGTGGTATATTTATATCTCTGGGAGAAGGTTATCAAAGGTCGGGAGGACCGTTGGGTGAGATATCAGCTGGATACACCACTTAACGGGCCAAACAAACACATGACACACGCATTGTGGGCAGACAACATGTACCTCTTCTCCAAAATTGAGGCCGGGTTGAAAAAAGATGATTCGGGGTCTCACCGTACCCTTGGTTCAGGCAGGTCTTCGGTGGAAACCCTCATCGTTACTGTACCTTGCATGTCGGGTCCCCTGGAGAAGGGACACAGATTCTCTCGTTGTTGAGTTGTCGGAAAATGTTGAGAATATGACATTACATCGTGTGTCTCAGCTGTCTGCTCTTGGGTTTGAGCTTTCTGATACTTGGACGGACCACCATGACCTGAAGGCCAATGTATTGAAGGCGGAGAAGGGATGGTACCGCGACCAGGAGTATTCTCGATGCAGGAAGATCTTTCTCTTGGATCGGTGTCGGAGATACGTTTCTCGTGTGCAGAGCATTGTTTTGTATGCTTGTGAGGGAATGACAATGGATGATTATACGCTCGGGAAATTGTATGTGTGGAAGGGGGAAGCTCCTGGCGATCTTGGGAGGACGGAGGAAGAGACACAATGAGAACTGGACAACTTCTGTAAAGAGGAGATTCGAATATGGACGAAAGATGTTTCATGATGGAGGGTTCAAGCCGTTGACGCAAAGATTCACGCGTAAACAATGAGATTGGGCTCGAGGTGCTGCCGAATATGCTCGACCTCGGTGTCCACAGCAGTCAGTGTCCAGCTCTCAGGGTGTTGCTCTCAATCGAAGGGAGACGACATCAAGGCTGAGGGAGGAAGCTCAAGGTAAACGTCGGAGGTGGGAGGATAGGACGCAGGCGATACCACCTACGCAGATTGCTCGTACTGATGATGGGTCATTCGCGAAAATATTGTTGTAGATCATGGTTGTGCTTATGTCATCTCTCGTACAGCCATGCTGCACGGACTGGGGCGATGGACAGAGACGCGAGACAACCTCACTGCAGGAACGCAGAACTGGAAGAGAAGATCGTTGTATACTCAGTATGTCCCAGACGGTGTTCCCCATGTCTTTCGCCCGTGGGATTTCTGGCTGGTACAGCATGGTGGCGTTTGCTGGTGGCACAGGATATCGTGGACAGCACAAGGATTTCAGGATTTTCTGCTTGATACGGTGAAAAGAAAGAAGAAACAGTACAGGTTGGATCTCTTTATCTTGCCAGCACAGGGACGAGAATGGAAAATGCAGCAGGAGGAGCACATGAAGCCGAAGGAGAAGGGTACGGAGGAGACGAAACTAGCAAAACGACCGGCGGCGAAATTTGAAAACGAAACAAAATATGAATACGGGGACGGTGTGGCGATGGAGTTCAAAGGCGACTCGATGGCGATCATGAACTGGATGAGAGACACTTGGAAGATAATATGACACATCGCGGCCAAGTGGAGCATGTCATTGATACTTCGGATCCTGTTTGCGACTCGCATCACATTAGCCGCCTGCTATAAGGTGTGGCATGTGGAAGCATAGGGAAGGGAACGGGAGGGCTGATGCACTAACTTGGGAAAAGAAGGGACAGCCTAACATATCAAGAAAACAGTGGTACAGCACAAACATTGATACAAACAGTGCAACATTGATCGCAATCCGCGGAGCATTCGACGGTGGCGTTTCCATTGCAGGTGCGGGAGGTGGATGGTGGATTCAAGGTGAATTCGCCGAGAGGACATCGCGTGAGAAAAACATGCGGAGCGAAAGCTCTCATCGGACAAGGGTGGTTGATCTCTGCGAGGAGGCATTTGGCCTTTCTGCGGGTTCAACTCTGACTGCGCGTGAGCTAGAGGCTGCAAATAATTAGGCTTGCGCTTCCGCCTGCGAGGTATTCAAGCAGTACGACCCCTTCCAGAGCTGCTAGTAGCCGCACTCGCCGCCCTGACCCAGGACCCTCGCGCGAGAACGCAAGCAGCGAAAAACCAGGTTGAAGGTTTACAGCCGGCGCCAAGTTCCCGGATAGCGTCTTTGAGTGGAGGCTGCAGATTAGAAGCCGGCAGGCAGCGCTACGCAAACTTCTCAAGACTCCTGGGCAGGATTTCTTGCACCATGGATCCAGAAAAATCGTCTAGTTCCCGAATATATCCTTGAGGAGCTTCGAGGGTAACTCGTAGAGTTTCTCTGGTAGCGAAGCTGCGGAAGCTTAGAGTAATACGGGATCGCTTCTACGCTAGCTGGCCAGAGAAATCTCGACGGATTGATTGAAAAATATGTTAGGAAATTTTTGACAATTCATTTGGTGCGGGGGGGTCCCCAGCAGCTCCGATCTCATTCCAGCTCGCCATCTTCATCTCAAGTCGAGAGGAGCATTTTGAAGGGGGAGAACTGATAAGGCGGGTACTCGTCCTGAGACAACATTTTCTATGCGCACTCAGTTTATGGCGAGAATCGCGTGGTTTAGAGCAACAGAGGTTTTATGTGCACGACTAGCCGCAGCAGCATCGTGAGAATTTTTCTAGAGAGTCGAGAAGCCTGAGATCGGTCTGCTACTCGAGCTATGATCGAAGCACTACTCGCACTCTGCAACTATTTGGCCGCATGTGTTGTTGTTCGATTCGATCTTGAGATTTAGAGCAGCTAGAGCGGATTCAAGTGAACCAATAGCTTCAACAGCATCGTGAGCTCCAGTCTAGACGATCGGGGCGCCTGAGATCGGTCTGCTGTTCGAGCTATGGCCGAAGAACTATCCGTACTCTGCAACTTTCTGGGGCCAGTGTTACGTTTTTGTTACCTGATCTCGAGATTCGGAGCAACAACAAGGGCGTTACATGGATGATCAGGTTCAGCAGCACCTGGAGCTGTCGTGCATACGTTCGAGAGGCCGAGGCCTGAGATGGGTCTGCTCCTCGAGCTATGACCGAAAAACTACTACTCACACTCTGCAACTTTCACTGGCGCACGTTATGCTTTTCGACATGATCGCAAAATCGAGAGCAGCTACAGAGCTCTCAGTTACTGCAGTTGATTGAGTTTGAGCCTCGAGTTTGTGCGAGATTTGAGCAGCTGGGCGGCTGCGACTAGAACCTAATATCATGCAATCGATTCTGCGATCATTTGTAGAGGCGTTTCTGCTCGGAGTGAAGCTCCACGAGTTCCCCGGCGGTACCACTGGTTCCCGTCGGGGGGCTCCTGCCTCTGAGGGCCCACATCTTCGGCTCCCATGACTGCATCCTCTCTCTCTCTCTCTCTGTACT